CCCCAAAACCCCAAAACCCCAAAACCCCAAAACCCCAAAACCCCATAATCTTGCAATAAGATTGGAATTAATATATAATATTACATAAAAACTTCAGAATAAAGTATGAATAACATTGATGGAACATATTTTGAAGAGAAGAACTTAGCCGAAGGAAACTACGGACAGTAAGTATTCACCTCCAATAAAATTTAACCCAAGATGTACATTTTGAGATAATTCTACCGTGAATTTCTTATAAAATGAAAGCATTCATTCGGCCATTTAGTAGCAAGCAGTTTTAAATTCAAAAACATAGGTTTATTAACCTTCTTCATAGAGTGAAACTCATGCATCATAAAGAGGATCCAGATATTAAGTATGCGGTGAAAATTTACGCTAAGAATAAAAGTGAAGAAGCAGGAATTAGGCACTTCCGCCAAGAGGGGGTCCTTAAGACCATAAGCCACCCAAACATTATAAAGTTGGTTGAGATGAATGAAGCCGGCAAACTCATATCTCCTTCAAAGGAATTCATTGAAGTTAGATATGCAGTGCTTGAGCTCGCACCCAATGGGAATTTCTTAGACTATATAGCTAATAATGCAATTGACTCAAAAATTGTCAGGTACTATTTTAAGCAACTCTGAGAGGCAGTCAGCTACATGCATCAAGAAGGTATCTGCCATAGAGACTTAAAGATGGAAAACTTACTTCTTGATGAACAATTCAACCTAAAGGTTTCCGATTTTGGATTTTGTACTGAGATCATGAACAAATACGGTGATAGTCTTCTAACAATTTGTAAAGGAACTCCAGGGTAAGTTTAATAACTTCAAATAAAATTTCTTAATTCTTGCTAGTTTTTATTGGACAAAATCTTATGGCTACTTATAGGTATATGGCACCAGAGATGATCAACATTAACGGATTCAACCATGTGATGAATCAGAAAAGCCACAAAATGTTTTCAAGCAAGGGATATCACGGAATCCAGACAGATATCTTTGCCCTAGGAGTTATTTTGTTCTCTCTTTATATGGGAAGACCTCCATTCAAGATCGCTGATATAAACGATCCTTTCTATAGGCTAATTTTTAGCCATCAAATTGCTGAATTTTGGGAACCATGGGACCAATTCGCTTCCCAGAATAATTTTGAAATTCCAGAAGACTTTAAGAATCTGTTTATTGGGTGTGTTACGTTTTCTCCTTTACTCAGAGTTTCCATTAATGAAATTCTGAGCAACAGCTGGATGCAGAGAGATATGCCCTCTCAGGAAGAAGTTTGCCAATACATGTCCACTATTAAGGTTAAGATTGATGAACTAGAGGCTCAACAACAAGCTTACTACAGTGCAGCCCAAGCTCAAATGTCAACGAAGGTTGAAGAAGCTAAAGAAGAATGCTTAGAAGGCGACAACCTCAACGACTCCTCCTTATCAGCTGGATCCCAAATCAAAGATGACGAGGAGAACATTATGAAGGATCTTGAAGATATTGAGAGTGAATTCCTTGGTAATGACTTGAATGAGAGCAACTCCTTTAATCTCGGTGAAGACGAATTTAATCTCGACGGGTTCTCAGAAGCTGAGGATGTCGATATAGACAATATGCTTGATGAAGAAGTGGGAAATGTCAAAGATTTGCCCTTAGAAGCTGTTGAAAGTTGTAAAACTGAATGAACTAATCCTCCAGAAGACCAGACGAGTCAGATCATTCAATTCCTGGAACACCTGACTGAGGTAGACACTGAAGTTAGGACTTCTGTCCCTGAAAAGATGATTTCCTTCCTCGAACAGTACGGAAATCTCAAGCAATGGAAGATTGTGAAGCTTCTAAACTACATCCTACTGAAGATCCCTGACAACTCCGGGAGTCTGGTAGAATATGCCATTAAGTTTGACCAATGAGATGGTCAAAAATATGCTCTAAAATACCTAAAATATGACGATATGTCATTCGAGCAGTTCCATGAAGTAGGCAGCTTCATCTTAAAATTAATTTCCCCATATTGATAATTATGTTACTCCTATATTTATGAGCCCTAATGGGGTTTTGGGGTTTTGGGGTTTTGGGGTTTTGGGG